GTTTATATATATATATATATATATATATATATATATATATATATATATATATATATATATATATATATATATATATATAATTCTAATTCATGGTTAGGAAGTACTGGAAGTACAAATTTTTAATAAAAAACCAATAACTGCAAGACTTTTAGTTAAAGATCTATTATGCTATCAAATAATCTTCAAAATTTGTTGAAGAAGCCGAGGAGAAGCAAGGTCTAGGGTTTTCTAGGGAATATCTAAAGCTAATGCTATTAAACGAAAAGCAAATAGGAAAAACAAAGAAATTAAGAAATTGGAGCTTTCTCGAACTCAAAAAAAATGTTCTTAAAAACAGGGGAAAATCAGGGAATACTCAGGGAAATTGGATTTCTATAACTGCCATGAGCCCTGTTTTTGTGGTTTAAACGTTTTAGTTTAGAAAACTATTTTTAGTTTCTTAAAACATTTCTGTCTTGTGCACCCTCTATTTTGTTACAATACTATTTTAGGAAAGTTACACATTTTTAAATCAAACTCAAAAAAATTAAGGAAACCATTAAAAAGTGACACTACCATTTTTGTAGTTAAAGCTGAACTACCAAAAATCTTGCATAAATTTCTTTAAAATAAAAAATAGTATTGAGAGGATGCTCCTGTACTGTAGTTTGATGAACTTTTACCTAAAAAACACGAAATGAACTATTATTTGCATATCTTTTCAAAAAGTTCACCCGCCATTGAAAAATTGATTTTGACATAAGTACTACTATGTATTCAAATTTATTTAAAATGTCATAGTCATGTAATACAATAAATTTTCAATCCAACAATGACTCAGACCCTTGACCTTTCTTGTCGCACAGAAGGAATTGAAGGTACAATTTGTCTTTATTTTTTTATTTTCCTCCATTACTTTGATTGCGTGCTCTGCGCATTGATTACTTCTAAGTTTCTGGGCAGACCTATGTTCATACTCTTTTAACAGTTAAGATACAAATGGATATTCGATGTTTGGCGATTGTGTTTTACTTCCAAGTTCTTCATCCATCACCAAACGGAGGATTCTATCTTATACATGGTGTTGACAACTGATAAACTGAGGTTAGTTGATGCATTTCTCTGTGAACATTCATTGCAATATTACAACAACACCATTCTTTTTTCCAGTGTTAACACTGGTGGTATTTGCAACAATCATCTGTATTGAATTTTATAGGTGAAATTCATCAAGGAATTTAGAAATTCCTTGAACAATAGTTAAAGCCCTGCCATCTACCAAGCTGAGGACATCCAATTTGATTTTTCTTCTTTCATTTTTAAGGACGACCACTTGATAATCCATTCTGTCGATGTTCTTGCCATTAAAATGTAAGGACCAACTTTCCATATGCAACTTTTCAATCATTTCTTCCTTCAGCTTGATTGCCTCTTTGATTGTTGACTTGTAAATAGCTGATTAACATGGTGTTGGTATATCAATGCCTTCACAATCCAATTGCTTGCAAATGTTAGCAGCTTTGTTTTTTGATACTCTAGTGGAGGTCACCAAGTTGGCTGAAATTTTGCTTTTATGATATTTTCTGCCTGGTGTGGGAGTTTTCTTTACTGGCCGCTTGCCCTGTAGAGTATTCCACTGTTTCGTTGCTTTCCACTTATAGATGGTACAATAGCTTGTCCTCGGAAGATAACCATATTCCATCCACTTTAGTAATATCAAAAATTTCAACAAGGGGTTCGTAGCTTCCCCGCATGATACATTCATCACAACATTTCAGTATTTTATCAAGCTTTGCTTGCATAACTTGATCAGATAGATAGATAAATTCAGTTTATTCTTCTACAATTTGGTGACTTCTTTGGAAATTTCCGCTATTCGCTCCTTTCTTCATTTAATTTTTGGTCCACGAAAATGGTAGCTTTCGATAATTTGCTTTTGGAGAGGCATTCAGCACTATTCTTCCAGTGAATACTCTTCCAAAGGGACCATTCTTCTTTAATGAGAATCTTCAAATTTTACAAGATTATTGGTCCAGATATACTTGTTCTTCTGAATGCTACTATCGCTAGGCTTGTACGACGCCATGTGTTGCTTCTGTAATAAATTTAAAATTAGATGAGCAGCTATATATAGTCTAAAATATTCTAGATTATTCCAGAATGTTCTAAATTATTCTAGAATGTTCCAAAATATTTTAAATTGTTCTAGAATGTTCTAAATTATTCCAGAATATTTTAAATTGTTCTAGAATGTTCTAAAGTCTTCTAAAATATTCTGTTATTTTCCAAAATGTTTTAAAGTTCTAAACATATCTAATCTATAGAAGTTTTAAATGATTTGCAGGAAAGCCACACATATTAGTAGTAACAGTAACAAGATTAAATAAATGATGAAATGAATTCGAATTGCGGGGTGAACTTTTTTTACAACCGAGAGGAGTTGAACATGTTTTCAATCTTTTCTAATAAAAGCTCTTTGATTCATGACACAGGAAATTGACTTTTTTTTAAAAAGTCAAAAAGTCATAACTCTAATATATATATATATATATATATATATATATATATATATATATATATATATATATATATATATATATATATATATATATAAATATGCTATAGTAGATATATATATATATATATATATATATATATATATATATATATATATATATATATATGTAGTGATGCTATTTTGTGCATATACGATCAAGAAAGTGCTCAATAAACTAAGTCAGAGCTATAATATATATAGTAGAAAATAAAACTACGTGATTTTCACAATGTTAAATTTCATGCTGTTACAATCATCAGGTGAAATACAAATATAGTTAGTTCGTTTTAAAATTTTTATACAATTGAAACTATATAGAAAAAACCTATAGGGAAAAAACTTTTTTTATTGTTACGACTGCGTGTATCTAATCTTTAGGTTTGTAAAAATTTATTTTCGTGACGACAATAGAAAATTAGCTCTGTTTTTTTATTAAGTAGCTCTTCAGTATTTTTATAAAGTAAAATAATTAGTTTTTCATATAAACAAAGTAAACATTTTTTGTAGTTGGCGGGGGCTTTTTTTTAGGATAGACCAAGTTAATTCAGGTGTTTCTTACAGTTTTTCCTTAGTTTCCCATACATGTTTTGAGAGAGTGGTTGAATTTGAAAGTTACTTATTTGTAAATGATTGCTTGTGGTTTGCATACCTCTTTTTCCACACTGTTTCTGATAAACCAATGTATGCTTTGCTGGGGGTGTTTGGGGAAGATGTTATACATTTGTAAATGATGTTTGTCGCTCTACAATTTTTATTCAGCGGGTAGATTTCTTTTTGTTTACAATTGCAATGGAGATTTTCAGTCGTGTTAATTAAATTTATTTTTTTGTTGTGACTTTTTATGATTTTTGAAATATTTTTTGAGCAGCTGTAGCTAATTTTTGTAGTGTTTCGATTAAATAGTTTATGCAATGGGTTTGAAGGTGAAAAAAGTTTATCTATTAATTGAAAAAAGATTTGGCCAACATCGGTAGAGACGCTTTTATTGTAGGCGTTATTTAAATTTATTGTAAGCGGTATTTTAACAAATTTTAAATATTTAATTTTTAATTTTTTAAAACCTTTTTTTTAATAAAAAACAATACATGTTTCGACTAACACTATTCATATTCAGTTAAAATTAAATATTTAAAATTTGTTAAAATATAGGTATTTTAAAAAAGGTGTTAAAAAAACACAAAATATAATTATTCTTGTACAAACTAATAATAATATAAATGAATATCTTTTTTAGTTGTAACTCTACACAAAACTAATTCTTCAGTTACCACTACTGTTTTTCATAAATAAACCAATTCTGGTCTTCACACTAATTTTTATAGTTTTACTCCATTTTCGTACAGAGTTAGAACAGAGTTAATCGATAGAACATTTAACATTAATAGCACTAAACTCTGACATAAACAACCTTTTTAAAGTATTTCAAAGAAACATGTAACCATTTTGGCTCATTTCAAAAAGTTCCTATTTAAACAAGAATAATTTAAATCCTCCACCACAACCAAAAATCAAAGAATCTTTGTCTTAGTTTAAACTGCTGTTTTTGGGGAAAAATATCTGATTTAACTAAAAAAAAAATGAATTCAATTGGTAAAAGATATTGCAGTTTAGCAAATATTAAATTAGTATTTACCTCACTGAAAATTTCAAAATTCTTTTCTTTTAAAGATCCTATTCCTCAAGAGTTCAAATTGTTTGTGATGTATAAATTCGTATTGCAGGATGTAACTCCTGTTATATAGGCAAAGCAACTCGCCATCTCAAGACCCGGATATCTGAACAAGAGGGACAAAATGTCTCACATCTATAAACATCTCCATGCTAATAAAAATTGTTTTATGCAAATAAATGGCAAGTGTTTTTCATCGGTAGGCTCATCAGGAAGCTTCCCGATGAGCCTACTGATGGCAAAACAAGTTGTTGAAGAAAATTAGATAAATGTTTTTACTAATTTATAATTGCTCTGTCCATAAAGAACATTGAGCACTCTATTTGTACTATACACTAGTTTATATATGTGTGTATATATATATATATATATATATATATATATATATATATATATATATATATATATATATATACACACACATATATAAACTATATATATATATATATATATATATATATATATATATATATATATATATATATATATATATATATATATATATATATATATATATATATATATGTATATATATATGTACATATATATGTATATATATATGTATATATATATATATGTATATATATATATGTACATATATATGTATATATATATGTATATATATATATGTATATATATATATATATATATATATATATATATGTATATATATATATATGTATATATATATATGTATATATATATATATATATATATATATATATATATATATATATATATATATATATATATACACATATATTTATTGAAATGCATTTCATATTGTTTTTTTAGACAAACTCGTTTAATTGTTTGATTTTTCGATTATATTCTACATTACATCCTGATATAGTTGAATCAAAACAACAAACTAAACTTGGTTATATTAAACACGAAGATGGTACTGAAAGTAAAGATATGTTAGAAGGACAGCTTCATGTTGGAATTGTTAATTTACCAGAGCAGTTGAATGAATCCTTAGAAGTTTATTATAAAAGTAAATTTAAAATAAATCTCTTTTTATCCTTAAGTGTATTTCAAAGTGCTAATTTATAGCAATTATATTATTTTCATATATAGATGTTAGTTTAAGCATAAATTTTTTATTTAGATCATCCTAGTAAGAGAATTCGTGAGGATGGCTTACGTCTCTCTCGTTACTTGTTAAATCGCGGTCGACCAACCAATTCAACCTGGTCCAAATATAAATCAAATCTTCAAGGGAGTGATAAAAAACACAGTGGTTTGTAATTTTTTTTACTTTACATTATTACTTTATTCTTAGGGTGACCTAAGTACAAATTAATAATGTAAGGTAGGTTTATACTTATTCCACACAGATCGTTTTATATTCTTAATTCTTATTTACTTCAATATTTTTCACTAAAATAATTCATTCTAAAAAATTGTTTTAAAAGTAAAAAAAATTAGCATGCACCTTTTTCGCATAAGTAGAGCTTATAAGAGATTTATAAAATTGTTTATTTTTCAATTAATTTCTTTATTTTGTAGGGACTAAATCCTTCCCTTAATTTTTTAATTTTTTCAATCTTTTGTATATATTTATAGCAAATATATATAGCAAATAAGACTTAAATAAAGTTGTTAAAATAAATTTTAAAGATTTCTCATAATTGTGTATAACATATATTATACACAATCGTTCCATATCACAACGCTAGAATTATCTTGTTCTATCTTAAACAACAGTATCTTGTTTTATCTCCACTTTTTGAAAAATTTGAATTATTGACAGTGTTGTTTACCTCAGAATAATGTTTTTCTATTGCATTAAAACCTAAGTTATGAGTCAAAAAGTTGCAGAGAAAATGTTAGGTTAAAATTTTTTTTTATATGCCATCTTCTGAAGTTTTTATTTTTTAAATCGTTTTATTTCAAAACTCAAAAATTTAGAGATAGAACAAAATAATTCTAACATCACAATATATAGATTGTTCTGCCCGCAAACTCAACTTAAAACGTCTTTGGCTTTAACGCCAAAGACGTTTACACTTACAGACGTTTGTACATAGCGCTATACAAATAGTGGAACTAAGAAGATGATGTAATTTTAGCAAACAGAAATTTTCAAGAGAAGGGAGAGTCATAACATATCGAAAATCAACGTTTTAAGTTTTTCACTTGAATGAGACAATATGTATCGTGTTTTTTCAATCTTGTCAATTGTTATACATATATATGAATATAAACTTTTATTGAAATTCAGGTTATGTATGAATATTCCTAATATATATATGTATATATATATATATATATATATATATATATATATATATTTATATATATATATATATATATATATATATATATATATATATATATATATTATATATATATATGTAAATATATATATATATATATGTATATATATATATACATATATATATATATATATATATATATATATATATATATATATATATATATATATATATATATATATATATATATATGTATATAAATTAAAAATATATATACATATATTATTGTCAAGCTAAATCCTTTTTTTTAATAATTGTTTTAATATCTTAAAAAGATCTTTATAAATCTTTTTTGATGTTTTATTTAGATGATGAATTTTCATTAAAAGATGCAGCAAATGAAGGTTTAATTCATCCAGATATTGCATCTGATATTTTTCAAGAAGGAGAGAACACAAGCAATAATGAAGAAAAACATAGAATTATAAAAAAGCCACATAAAGCTCAATATTCTGTTATAAGGTAGTTATAAAATATTCTGTTTTAAGGTACTTATAAAATAAAAATGGTAGTTATAAAATAAAAATGGTAGTTATAAAATAAAAATGGTAGTTATAAAATAAAAATGGTAGTTATAAACTAAAAATGGTAGTTATAAATAAAAATGGTAGTTATAAAATAGTTAGAAGTTAGTTACAATGCTAATAAATGCATATACATTGTTACAAGGTATTAATAAATTGTTATTTTTATTTTCATTATTGTTATTTTATTAATAAATTAAAAATAATAAATTGTAAAAACACAATTGTAAAAACACAATTGTAAAAACACAAGTTTTAATTGAAACATACCATTTTGTATATATGATTATAATATCATTTACATAATTATAATATCATACAACCCACCATTAAGTAAAAAATGTCACAACAAAAATCAATAAATGGTTTTTAACCTTAGTCAAGCATCATTTCCATGTCAACGACAGCTAACACAAAATGTTTATCATTAACTTGATTAATATCTGTTATTCTTCTATGCCCAACATCAAACCCATAATTGGTTCTCACAATAGAAATATTTTATGCAATGATAATAATATAGTAAGAGAAAATAACTGCAATTGTGTTAATAAATCTGCCCATTGAGCTACAAATGTCTATCAAATAACATTGTATACCAAGCAACAGTATGTTCAAAATAACCTGCATGCAAAGACAAAATATATCAAGACTCAAGTGCAATCTCTTTTAAAGTTTGTTATAGAAACCATTTAAAATCAATTACCACCAATAAATATAAACAAGACACAGAGCTTTTCAATGAAATATGGCAGTTTAAAGAAAGTAATGTTGTACCATCTATTAAATGGAATGTTATTAGGCATTGCTCACCACACAACTCAGTTTCAAGAATTTGTCAACTTTGTTTAAATTTGAAATCTTATTTTATAAAGACAAAAACATAACAAATGAAGAGAAATGGTCTCTATGTGCAATCCGAATATCAATTCTGGCCATTAAAAATTAATCAACAAGAATTGCAAGGCAAACTTATTCATAAAAAACTTAAGTACCTCCAAATTTACACTTGCCTAAGAATCAAAAAATCCGTGGTTCAAACCCCAACTCTGGGCAAGTTTTGCGACATCGGTTAGGAAGGGGGTGTGAACATCTGCACTAAAAAACTTAAGCAGACCTGGCACAGTGGTAGCGCACTTGCCTCAGAAATTGATCCATTGTTCAAACCCAACCTCAGAGCCAATTTTGCGAGATTGGTTTGGAAGGAGGCGTGAACTTCCAATTAAATGCTCATCCGCAGTGCTCTGAGATAAGACCGTAAGGACTTCTTGGGGCACCTTTTAAAATTAAAAAAAAGAAATAAAATGTAAATTACTATGCACTTTTTTAGAAATACTTGACCATCTTTATGTGTTCTTGGATGGTTAACCAAGTTTCTCTTAGCGCATTTATTGTTGCTGTTATTGTTGACAAGGTTTTTCCACTTCTTTCATTGTTGTGATTGGTGACTTTATTGTTGTATGGAATATAGTTGTCATATTTGGTTCTTCTAATGATGCTCTTTCTCTTCTAGAAAAAGTTCGAAATTGTATTGTAAATGTAGTTGAACCTGCTTTATCTGCCATGCTTTAGCCCCTCTTTCGTCATCACAAGATTGCATCTTTTTCTCTTTTGTACAAATACTATCACACTACCTGCTCTAATAAGCTGACATATCTAGTTCCATCAGTCTTAACTCATTCTCACTTGACTTATCATTCAGCAAAGTTGCAATTGTTTATTTATTTGTTTCTATCTAGAAATAATTTATCTAGAAAATAAATTATCTATCTAGAGACACACATTTATATGCTCATACACTCCTGCACCTTTTCAAGTCTTCTGTCAACTGTTTCCTTGCTCTTGAACAATGTTTTTTGTTTTCTAGCAACTCTGAACTCAATAACGGGTGCTTGCTGTTTTATTGGGAGTAAATTAGTTAAATAAAATAAAAAAGGTTACCTAAAAGGGTAACCTTTTTTATTTTATTTAACTAATTTTTATTTAACTAATACCATTGTTTAAGATTGTTGGTTTTAACATCTGTCCGAGAAATCATAATTACCAGGACTTTAAAACGAACGTTTTTAAAAAGGTCTTATGCATTTGAATAAAAATTGCAAATATTTTTGATAGCAACTGTTGTGGAGCTACAATGCTAAATATGTACCCTATACACATACCTCTTCTGGTATTAGGCCTGTTATTTTATTTTAGGTAATAAAAAATTTATTTGAATTTAACTGTTTACAAGTAAACAAATTATTCAAACTTTAAAATGTCTGTTGTGCAACTTTGAAGTATACAATAAGCTAATAAGTAAAAATATTGGCATATGCTGAAACAACATTACTTTTAAGTCCTCCTAATAATTAAGAAAATGTTATGACAATGATCAGATATTCAAATCAATTGAAAAAAGAAAAAGTCTTTAAATTGAAAAAAAATTCACCAATTTAATGTACCTGGAAAACATAGCAAATTAGTTAGTTTTGGCTAAAGTCATGGAAAACCTGGAAAAGTCAGGGAAATTTTTTTTTAAACAGATAGTCAGGGGAAAGTCAAGGAATTTTGATTGAGAAGTTACTTGTTTTACAAATAAGCTGTTATGTTTTTGTTGGTGCTACCTATTAATTTATTTTGAGAATTAAAAAATGCATCACAGTGTTTCACGAGAAAGGGTGTGATTGAACACCATTACATGAACACGCATAGAATTATATTATATGAACATGCATGTGATCGAACGCATTATATGAACACGCATTTTATTTTCACAATTTGACCACGGCTTTTTATTTCTTTTTTTATTGGAACAAAAATGAAAAACTAAGCAAAAACTTAAGAGTAAGTAACAGCAACTTAAAGTAAAAAAAAACAAAAGAAATCTTAACAAAGAACAAAATAAAAAAGTAAACATAGGCAACTAAAACTCTTAATTGCATTTTAACTTTTAATTAAATTATGTTTGGAATAAACAACTTTGATATTTTTTAATTGCACTCTGTAACAAGTTTTCAATTCTGTTCTGTTCCTGAAAATCTGTTTTCATAACCCCTTAGGTTTAGAACAGAAAGGAAATCGTTGTTATTCCAGAAAAACTTAGCTTCTGTGACTGGGACAATCAAATTTGGAAAATCAAGTGTTTTTGAGAAAATTCTTGATTTGCTTTCAATGCCCAGCTTCCTCCTGTAACATTCCTGAACTGTTAAAGTTGTCCAGATGTTTCTACAATTCTCCCAAACACTCTAGAAAGTTCAAGAAACTTTCAGAACTTTCGAGAAACTCTCAGAACTTTCTAGAACGTTCTTGAATGTTCCAAAAGTAACTATACAAGTATAAAAGCACAGGTGTCTTGAACCACAGACACCTTCAAGACACCTGTGCTTTTATACAAGTATAAGATTCCAATTCGTGTTATTGCAGAATGAAAGGATATCGATTCATAGTTAAAGAGAAGTTATTTATTTAAAATGGAATCCAGAGGTTGTTTGCACCCAGCTGATTTATTCTGCTACATGTGTGGACATTTCATAAAGACAAGAGTGAAAAAGTGTGGAATCAAGTCATATAATGTGCAAGGCCTACAGACATACTTCGGGTGTAGGTTTGCAATACAAATTTTAGGCACCGCATTTCACATCCAAATACTGCAAGAAAACACTTGAAGGTAAAATGAACAGTTGCTTCTCGCTTAGATGTGTTTTCATTTTTTTCATAAAATTTCAATACTTTATATCTAGTTCATTTCAAAGAGTTGTAATTTTCAAAGTTTTGTCATTAGTTGTCAACTGTTGGCAAATTTGTTCCATCTTGAAATTGTTCCATATTTGAAATTTTCTGTTCTCAAATTGTTATAATTCTTATGTATTATTATGTGCTTTGTTACAAGTTGGTAAGAAGCAAGAAGCGAGCCATTAAGTTTGCTATCCGGCAAATTTGGCGAGAGTCAATAGACCACTCAAGCAACTGCTACTTCTGCATAGTAAACCTAAAAAATCGATGCACTGGCTCCTCAGATCATTTATCCAGACCTTTTTCCATCGTCCCAGTGCCACACAGCCCCGATCTGCCTGTTTCAACTCTTCCTAGACAACATCGGCCATCTTCAGGAGACAGCAGGAAGTCAGACAGTGAGGCAGATACTGGAGATATGGGGAATAAGATTCTGCAAATGTGACTTAAAAATTGGTATTATTTCTCATGGGTCTTTAAAGGATGTTTCACAAAATTTCTTTTGTCCATGGGAAAGCCATGACATTAAGGTGCATTATCACACAAAGGACTGGCCAAAACGGACCAAAGGAACCGCTGATAGAACCTCATAAAGTGCTTATGCCATGGCTGCATATCAAGTTAAGCCTCATTAAACAGTTTTTCACTGCTGGAGTCAGTAGCATTTCAATACCTCCTTAGCCTTGGACAGCTTTTTCCAAAGCTGTCCAAGGCTAAGGTCAGGGCTAGTATATTAGTCGAACCACAGATCTTGTTGAGTGGTTTCCAGCTGTGTTTGTCTATTCTTGTTAAATTTTTGTTTTTACCTGATCATAATAATGAAAATGAAAAAAAAAATATTCAATTTTCACAAAAAAACAATTTTTCTTCATACAGTTGTTGTAAAAGCAAAGTTTGTGCTTAATGAAGTGATTTTTTCACATACTTTAGACATAAGCAATTGAATTATAACACTTTGGAATGAAAATTGTGTAACATAGTGTTATATTACGCAAAACGCTTTTGAATCAAATAACACATTAATAACAATTGTTTTCAATAAACAGATTTTATTTAAATTATCTATGGTTGTTGTTACTTTATTATTACAATACTAATAAATGTTTCTTTTTTTATTTATAAAAAAAAAAAAAACTTGAGAAAAAAAGGTGTCTGCTTGATTCTGTGGCTGTTAACATGAGTACTTGTTTGTTGACAAATTTTTATGCTTAGATCACAAAAATAGGAGTCAAAATAAAACATTGCTGCATCATTTTATCTCATTTGGAATATTAACTGCTTCTTATTCTGACAAAGTTATTAACCAATCAAAGTTTTCAAAGTTTATTTTCATCAGAATTTGTAATAAATGGGGATGTTTTAATTAACTTTGATTGAAAGAATAAATGCCTCAATAATTTTTACTTCAAATACATTGATATAAAAAAGTATCCAGAGTTATCATCTGTCATTAAGTTGGTTCTGACTTTGAATCATGGAAAGGCATCAATTAAACAGGGGTTTAGTGTCAATAAAGGTGTGGTTATTGATAATATATCAACAGGTGGTAATGTTGGGCAGCCTTTGTGCCTGATTTCATGCTTACCAACAACTTTAACTTCCACACTGTCCAGATTACATCAGAAATGAAAGTTGCTTTTAAATCTGCACATCAAAAATACCAACTCATGCTTGAGGAAGAGAAGTCAAAGAATAAAAAACATGCAATGCTAAATCAGAAAGCCATTATTTTGTCTGAAATTGAAGAGTTAAAATCTCATATAGGTCTTGTTTCA